GTCCGTCTTGGGGCCCTCTCGGGCCGTCGTGGGGCCAAATCGGAGGGTTTTGGGGTCGTCGTGAGGCGGCCTGGCGCTGTCTTGGAACCGCGATCTTGGGGCCTCTTGGGCCCCCTGGGGGCTTTTCTCGGACCTCTTATGTGCCATCGCAACCCATCTTGGAGCTATCCGAAGCCGAACACGTAATACCAACAACGCGTGAGCAATGCAAATTGACTCGGGTAGTCTGCGAAGGATGGGAACGGAGGAGGGTGGAGGATGTGGGCGACGACGAGGACGACCCCTGGAGCTGTCCTGCGAGCGCGTTCTGGCCAGAGCCTCGAGGCTGGCCCAGTAGTGGCCGAGAGAGGGCGCCCCCAGAGGCCCAGGAAGGCCACAGAACTGTCGACCACCTCAATCCCCGACCCTCGACAGGGTCTATCTCGATCCGATCGATCCGATCCTATATCGACTTCGGCCAGCCCAACCTGATTCGGTTCCGACGGTCTGGCCATCCGATGTGTCCCAGTGCGTGAAAGGCTCTATAGGGCATTATCCTGCCGCTGTTGGCGTTTACTCTCAACCCTCTGTTGGGTTCTCGCTTCGAAGAGAGCATCGCGGTCTCCAACCCCTCCCGCCTCCCTCATCCTCCTCTTTGCTCCTGCCTCGTGCTTTCTATTTGATTTCCCACCCTCTGTTGGGTTCTTGTTTTGAGTATGGAGCATGAAGGAAGCATCATCCCGGTCTCCCCTTCTCCTTCTCCCGCTTCCGCCTCTCCTTCTCTCTTCTCGTCTCCTATTTTCCACGTGTCTCCTTCTCATGTTTTGGTGCCTCCTACCTCTTCCCTGGGAAGGGGGCTGCGAAGTGTGAAACCGTCGTCACTGGCGAGGGCTGCTGTGGGGGCCAGCGCTGTGAGTTCCAAACATAGATTCAGGTCAGACCTCACCATGCCTGCTGTACTTTACCTTTCTCCAATCTGCCTGCTGTCGGAGTTTCCCCCGACACCAAGGACTTTCTTTCCTCCTCCTCCCCCTCTCCTCCTAACTTTTTTCATGTCTCGCATTGCGTGAATCCAGACATCTCAGATCCTAGAGGCCATGGCCTCACCCACCTGGTCTCTCTAGGCCCGGACGCTGTTCGCAACGGTGGTCGTATCGCATCGCATCGCATCGCATCGCATCGACCGCGGCTTGGTGCCAGGCCGCTGCGACAAGCCAGTCTCTGAAGTTTCAAGATTGTGCTCCTGCTGCAGCGCGGGCCTCATTTTCGCATCGGTGCGTTGCTCAAGTATTTCAGAATCCGGGCTCCCGCCCCAGCGCGGGCCACTTACCTGGACCCGAGTCGCTGTCGCCCCCCCTTTTCCCCCGTTCAACCTTCCCCCCAGCCATGCTCGCGTCGTAAAAAAATCAGGCCGAAGGTCTTTCCCTCTTTTCAGCCTCGAGGGGCCCTCGCCGGGCCCCGGGACCGTCAACAAAACGACTCGGGATGACACACCGGCCCCGGGGACAGGGTCGGGACTTCCGGGGACGCCGTCCTGAAAAAACCAGGACGTCGCATGTCTGGGCCCGTTTCTTCTCCTCCGTGCTCGGTGGCGCTGAGTACTCCAGATTTCGTAATAAAAGGGAGGGGGTCTCAACCCTCCCAGACGAGAAGTTTTAGACCCCCCCCCGTGGGAGAACCCTCCCAAACATCGTCCCCAGACCCCCCCAGGCCCTCCGAGATAGCCTGCAAGAGACCCCCCCCCCGAAATGAGACCCCCCTCCTTTAAGATTACGAAATCTGGAGTCCCGCCTCGACTCGGGGGCCGTCGCCGCGGCCCTGTCCTCCCCTCTGCTGCCTCCCGGCGGCTCGGCGCCGGGAGCCTCCGCCCGGCCCCCCCCCTTGGCCGGGCGCCGCCCTCGGCTGTGATGCGTGCGCCGGCCTGGGCCTGTTACTGCGGCCTCGCCGCGTGAGCGCGCGTGCCCCTCCCTCTCTCCTCTCGCCCCGCGGCCGCCGCCCTGCTGCTTCTCCTCGCTTGCAGGCGGGGCGATTCGCAATGCCGTCTCCCAGCCTGCCGACCGCGCGTGCGGCCTGACTCTGCCGCGCTGCGACGTGAAACAGTTTCTCTTCCTCTTCCGGCTTCAAATCCAGCTCGTGCTGCTGCTGATCGCCCCCGTCGTCGTCCTCCTCCCTCCTCCTCCTCCTCCTCCTCCTCCGCCTCCTCCTCCTCGTCCTCCTGCTCATGCTCCTGCTCATCTGCCCTCTTCCTATGCGCGCAGGTCCCATTTCCTGAGTACACATAACAGACGGGGTCTTTCTGGGAGTTCCATGTCTGCTATGACACGCGCCCGTGGGTAGAGAAAACATCAACGCAATGGAAATGGATGGGAGGGAGGTGTAATACGTCAGATATGACACGAGCGCACCTAGCTTGTCCTCCGCCTTTCTCCTCCTTCCCCTCTCTCCCCCTCCTCCCCCTCTCTCCCCCTTCCCTTGTATGCCCGCTACGCAGGTGGAGAGCGATCAGGGCGGCACCCGAGCGGACCCGCGCGCGTCTTGCCGCGCAGGCCACCTGCGCTTACCTTTTCCCAAACTCACGATGATGCTGTTGTTGGTAATGATGATGGTGCTGACGATGGTGGTGGTGGCTGTGGTGATGGGGGTCAAAGTGATGATGATGCTGATGCTGCTGATGCTGGTGATGATGATGCTGATGCTTATGCTGATGCTGGTGATGATGATGCGGATGATGAGGAAAACGCGGGACATGATGATTCTGATGATGATTATGCGGATGACGGTGCACATGAGGATCAGGATGAAGATTAGGAGGGTGATGCGGATGATGGATACGATTTTGGAAAGTATCACTGTGATGATTGTGGTGGTGGTGGTGATGATGACGATGATTATGACGTTGATGTCGCTGATGATGATGGTGATGATGCTGTAGGTGATGGTAATAATGATGGTGATGGTAATGATGATGATGACGACTATGGTGATGGTGATGGTGATGGTGATGGTGATGGTGGTGATGATGATGCTGATGATTCTGATCATGGTGATGGTGATGGTGATGGTGATGGTGAAGAGGCTGCTGCTGCTGCTGTTCTGCTGCTGCTGCTGCTGCTGCTGATGATGATGATGAGGATGGTGACGACGACGACGACGACGATGGTGAAGACGATACTGATGATGATGATGATACTGCTGATGCTTCTACTGCTGCTGATGGTGATGATTCTGATGCTGATGATAGTGAGGATGATGCTGACGATTATGATGCTGATGATGATGCTGATGATGATGAGGAGGATGATGAGGATGATGATGATGCTGCTGATGATGAGGAGGAGGATGAGGATGAGGATGAGGATGAGGATGAGGATGAGGATGATGATGATGATGATGATGATGATGATGATGAGGATGATGATTATTATTATTATTAGTATGATGCTGATGATGATGATGATGATGATGATTATGCAGCTGATGCTGCTGGTGCTGCTGATCATGATGTTGCTGCCGAGAATGATGCTGATGACGACGAGGATGATGATGATGATGATGATGATGATGATGATGACGATGATGTTGATGATGAGGATGATGATGATGATGATGATGATGATGAGGATGAGGTTGAGGATGAGGATGAGGATGAGGATCAGGATGTTGATGATGATGATGATGATGATGATGATGATGATGATGATGATGACGATGACGATGACGATGACGATGACGATGACGATGATGATGATGATGATGATGATGATGATGATGATGATGATGATGATGATGATGATGATGATGATGATGATTATGATGTGATGATGATGATGATGATGATGATGATGATGATGATGATGATGATGATGATGATGATGATGATGATGATGATGATGATGATGGTGATGGTGATGGTGATGATGGTGGTGATTATCACGGTGATGGTGAAGATGATGAGGATGATGCGGATAATGATCCAGCAGCCCACGGCAAGTCCCGCCACCGTGCCTGGGTTGTGGGTCATAAGCCTAGTGTATGTTCGTTGGAATCTCGTGGGAGGCCTCTCGAGGGTCTCTTCGAGGCAGGTTTGAGGCTTGGGGGTGGCCGTTTTGTGGCTTCTTGGGGGCCTTTTTGGGCCTCTTGGGCGCCTCTTGGGACCTCCCGGGGGCTCCTTGGGGCGGAAGGCTGGATTTTCGATTCGTCTTCCCTCTCTGGGGCCCCTTTTGGGGCTCTCTTGAGCCGTCTTGGGCGCACCTTGGGCCGTCTTGGGGCGCTCTTGGGCCGTCCCGGGGCCCTCTTAGAGGCCTCTTGGGCTATTTTGGGGTGACCTTGGGGGCCTCCTGGGCCGTCTTGGTGCCGGAAGGCTGAAAAGGCGAGAACGCCAACACCTGTCAAAAACGCAAGAAACATCACTGATTTTTGCCTTTGGGGGCCCTCTTAGGAGATCTCTTGGAGGCCTCTTGGAGGCCTCTTGGGAGACCTCTTCGGGGGACCTCTTGGGAGACCTCTTGGAGGCCTCTTGGGGCGCCTTGGGCCATCTCGAGGCCATCCTGGGCGTCTTCGAGCGATCGTTCGGCGACTCGGGGCCCTCTTGGACCGTCTCGGGGGCCTCCTGGGCTGTCAGCCTTGGAGAGCCCCAGGGAGGCGCCACGGCCGCCCAGGAACCCTCCGGAGCATGGCCGGCGCACGCGAGGAGGTGCGGCCCGGAGGGGGGGGGGTCCTGGAGCGGTGGCGGGAAGGCGACGTCACCTTGCAACTTTCCCTGCTGTCCTGCTGGCGCCTGTCCGGCCCCTTCGGGGCGCCCCTGCTGCCAGCGCTCTGGGAAGCCCCAGCAGCGGCCCCCTTCGCCAGCCCAGACTGTTCCCAGCAGCCTTCTTGCTGGCGCGGTTCATGGCATCCTTGGCCCTCGTAGAGGATTACAAAAACCCTACCAGACAGCACTTGGTATTCCAGCACGCCTCAACGTGCCGGGGGGTACGGTGGCGGATAAGGCGAGGATGATGGGCAGGATGATGGCGAAGAGAGTAAACGGAGGAGGAGGAGGAGTAGGAGGAGGAGGACGAGGAGTAGGAGGAGGAGGATGATAAATGGATGTTGGTACAGTGTAGGGGAGCGGTCGATGATGATGATGGTGATGATGATGATGATGATGATGATGATGATGATGATGATGATGATGATGATGATGATGATGAGGATGATGATGATGATGATGGTACTGGTGGTGATTAGGATATTTATGCTGCTGCTGCTGATGCTGTTGATGAGGAGAAGTCGTATTGGAGAGGCTTTACGGCGGGTGCCGCCGACCCTGAACGACGATGCCGACGATGCTGGTGCGGGTCAGAGTCCTCAGTGATGCTTCTTGGGGTCTCATTGGAGCGCTCTCGGGGGCCTCTGGGGGGTAGTTTTGGGGCCTCTTGGGAGCCTCTTGGGGGCCCTTTGGGAGGCTCCTGGGGGCCTCTTGGGGCTTCCCGGGGACCTCTTGGGGGTCTCTTGGGGGCCCTTGGGGGCCTCTTGGCGCGTCCTGGGAGCCTGTCAGGCCGAGGGCTCGAAATGTCCGTTCGGGACCCCCGTCTGGGCACCATCTTTGAGCCGTCTTGGGGTCCTCTTGGGCCGTCTTGGGCACTTCTAGGGCTGTCCTCTTGGAGGCCTCTTGGGCTATCTTGGGTCGATCTTGGGCCGTCTTGGAATATCGGGAAGCCGAAAAGGCGAGAATTCCAAAATCAATCAAACGCCTGCGGGAAATCCATGATTTTTGCCCCTTGGGGCCCTCGTGGGAGTGTGCTTGGAGGCCTTTTGGGGCGTCTTGGAAATTTCGCAGGCCGTCTGGAGGCTAGTTTGGCGTCTTGGACCGATGGTTCGGCTATTCGGGGCCTTCCTGGACCGTCTTGGAGGTCTCCTGGGGCAGTCTTGACTCGTTGTGGCATGGAGTTGTAGCGAGTTCGTTTTTTACGTGTTGTTGCCGCCACTCGCTGCCGTCCGGATCAGGGCGCCTTTTTGCCATAGACTGGAAACGCATCATCACATTGTCAACGAAGCTGCCACACGATCCCGTATCGTACCTCTGCGTGCTGTTCCCTTGCAAGGAAGGATAGCGTATCCTTCTCACAATTTCGCGAGCCCTTGCGAGAGGATTGACTCACCACATCGGCTGCAGCCATGGCACTTTCTTCTCTTCGGTATCGGTCAACCGCCGACGCGTTGATACTTTCGGAAACTAAGAGTGGTTCATACATAGTTGATGGTTCGGTGAACAACCTCCACGAACTCCGCGTGGATATGCGTATGAGCGCCGCGTTGGCCTCCGCAGACTCGGAGGGATAATCCAATCAACAGAACATCACCGCAGCTGTCGACAACATCGTAGAGGGCCTCAGAGGCGATGCGGTCAATACGGCCATGGATATCGGTAAAGAAGCGCTTCTATCTTCGAATGGAATCGACCAGCTGATAACCGCGATTCGATCGGCATTTTTCCCCATCGAAACATAAGAAGCCAAAACCCTGTTCCAGGTAGGACAGAGACTTTACGGGCCGATGTCACAACAGAGTTTTGAATCGATGGTTTCGTGTATCTCACGTCGGGAGAGATGGTGGCAACTTGTCGCGAAGATGGGCCCGAATCTTGTCATGATCGATGACATGCTCGACTCACTTCTCTTGGACCACACAGGCCTTTCACCTCAGGAAAACCGGATGGTACTCGCATCTCTCAGGTAACCAGACCAGCTCTGACAATGCCAGAAACGTTCGGATTTCTCCAGCCCGGTCGTGCCCGCATTCGCCAAAAGTGTACATGAGATCCTATGGGGAAAGGGTCCCGCCCAGCACGACTGGAATTTCAGGCCCAGCCTTTGTGCCAGGGGCAGAGGCAAGGGCAAGGTGAGGCACCAGGCCTACCATGCCGCCGACGACGCGTGGCAAGAACAACATCTGTACCCAAAGAAGCAGAGCCCATACGGATACCACGCGTCTGGCTACACGCGCGAGCACGGCTGGGACGACAACGCCTGGGCTGAGGAGGGCTGGGACGACAGCTGGCGCGACGAGGATGCTCACGCATACTGGTCGACGGCTCCCATGCCCACAGAGCCCCAAGAGGGTCAGCTCGATTTCAACATTGTCGACGAGATGACCAAGATTGGTTACACCGAGGAGGAGGCCACCGAGGTTGTTCAGGAAAACATGGTAGCCAGTCTGGGCACCAGGGGCAAAGGCAAGCAAGGGCAAGTACGAACCACGACACCACACCCCTCGGTCCAGCAAGGGTGGACAGAAAGGCACACTTTCTCTGGGAAATCGCAATCGCCGTCCCCAGGATATTAAAACACGTTTGAGGTTGAACACCTGCAACGAGAAGGGCCACTGGTCAGGTGACCCTGCGTGCAAGGGCAAAACCAAAACGGCGATGATAGCCTACTCAGGCGATCACGTCCGACAACATGAAAGACGACGGTGACGCTAGCGACGAACAACAGCTCACGCCCGCTGTGTCGGTTGCTGCTTCACCATCTACTCATC